ACACACTTGGTCAAGGTGCTGAGAGTAAATGTCAGTGGCCATAAACAGGACACCTATATGACTCTCTCTCCTCAAGGCTCAGGAATTAGCATTAGCGATTTTGAGAGCCAGAGTTCAGGGAGGGCCAGAGTTAAACAGTGCTTTCTGGACATGATAGGACTGCAGAACTCAACTCACAGTAGCTGTGGTTGCCTGCATAAGACCTGAAGAAGATCAAGCCAGTCAGCATTCTAGCATGGGTTGAGATAGGTTCATGAGACTCCCACCCCTAACTGAGGAACTATTGACAATTGTTTCTGGGGAAAACAATCATTTTCTTCAAAAGTCTGGCTCTTGGTAGGAGACCACACTCAAGTGGATAGCCCCATACTCAGGAATATATAGGCAACATAATCAGACTTGATGAATTATTTTAAAATAAAGAAAATCAGGAAGTTCAAGAGGTAAAGAGGTGGGGGTGGATCTGGGAAGAGCCAGGACTAGACAGGAGTAGGGGTAAATACAGTCAAAATTCATTGTTTGAAATTCTTGAAGAATTAGTAAAATCATCAAAATAAATAAATGAGATTTTTTCTTATGTCCTGTCAAATTATTAGCTAACAACAGTTAGCTAATAATTTGAGTGCAGTTTTATTTTTTATTTTTTTTATTTATTCTCTCATACAATACATCCTGACCACAGCTTCTCTTTCCTCCACTCCTTCCAGTCAATAGTATCTATATCAGCATAATATCCCATCTCTTTCTTGATTTGTCTATTTACTATACTGTTTCTATGGTCATTGGTAACGTGTCAATTAGTTGATAAGTCACCATATCACATGCTTACAACAGTGCTTGATTTTCTTTCTTAAGTGTGCTGAATTTGAAAATAATGGTTGAACTTGTTTGGATTCAATTGCAGAGGCTAGGTCTAGGTAAGTTTGTATTTATTCTGTTCATGCAATTACCCTGCTAGTAATGGCTACCAGCAAGAAATTCTTTCTAAGGCATACTAGGTCACATTTAACCTGTGAGCACCCTTGATGCTGCTTCCTTCCAACTTGCTCAGTCATAAAGCCAAGTCAAACATCAAAAGGGCTCAATGTTTACTCCTGGTGCTCAAGTGGACCCCTTTGTAATGTACTCCAGCAAAGAAATGGCCATAAAATTCTATAATAAGAAAGAAGCAGAAGTATAGAAACAAGAATTCAAATTACCATTGTCATGTCTGCCAACTATTTATATTTTAATTTATATTAACTATTTCTGAAATTTTTCTTATTTTAGTTCATTAATATAATCATCTTTCCTTTTTATTTTCCTTTTTATGGAATAGGTCTTAATATGCAATCAAGCCAGGATGGAAACTAACTATATAGCCCAGGATGGCCTATCTCAGTCTCCCAAGCACAATGGTCACCAGCATGTGCCATTACACAGGCCAGATCAAGATCCTCTTATTGTTTCTTTGCTCATAATACTCTTCTCTCCCCCAATTCAACCATCTTTTCCTGAGTCTATAGCATATTTAGAGTGGGGTTTTATGTAAACCTTTATGTTTTAAACTCCCACTTTTGGGATCGATCTACCCATTTGCTGTATTCAGTGAATGCCAGTTGTGTTCTTGCCTATGGGCTCAGAAGTTGTACCAACAGTGAAAAACACAGTCCTGAAAGGTATGTTCTTAACAAATAGGGCCCTTCTAGGTACTTGCCAAGCTCCTTCTAACAGGAGTAGAGAGGGGACATGGTGTCTTGAGTAAACATGGACTGATGGCACATGAGTAGCCAAAATACCAACCATAGAGTGATGGGAAGTGATCTGGGCCCACTCTGTTCTGGGGAAAGCAAACCTCTCAGGTTGTTTGGTAAGATAAAGGGTTTCAATGAGTGGAGGTGAGCTTGGAGGAAGTCAGGCATGAAAGGTCATGTCAGGGGCTCAGGCCACTTCATCAGCTTGTGAGTGCAAGCCCTAGATTCTCTGGAAACATGAGCTTAAGGAGACTCGGCCTGGTCTGTTAGCTGCCAAGCTTCTTTCTTCACTCTCTTGCTGGGTCCTTGTTATGTTCCCAGGCTGGCTTTAAACTCTGGGGACAACAAGTGAACTGTATGTAGTTCCTGCCCAAGGAAAGTATCAACACTGGTGAAGTGGGCCAATGAAGCCACAAGGGCTGCTCCAAGGACATGCTGCTGAGGGTTCACCTGTTTCACAGATCTTTCTCGAGCATGGGCAGTTTGGGAGCACTCTACTAGGTGGGCACATTACCAATAAGCTGACTGGGGTCCTATTTCCACCTTGGTGGGAACTTGCGCAGACAAGGTAAAGCCCTTTCAGCAAGGACAATCCTCAGTCCTTGACATACAAGAACTAGCATAATGACGGGCAGACCAGAGCCTGAAGACTCCAAACCCTGAAGGGTAGAAGCCTGTTTCTTAGACTCTAGAACTAAGACACTTATGGCTCTGAGCACTTAGATTGGAGACTTATCACTATGGGCTTTAACCATCAGAGGCTCCAGCACTTACCAGCCATTGTCAATTCTTGGCCTCTAGTAGCATTGAGTGTCTACTTCATGTAGCAGCAAGCAGTAGTAGCTTGGACCTTCTCATATTACAGTGCTCATACAGGCTCCATAGCAACATACGGGCCCAGTGAGTCAGGACCCTGAGCCCTTGACAGCAGCAAGTGTTATATACAGTGTCTGAGATCCTTGACCATGAAGGCTTAGTAGTTTATTGAAACTCTCCCAATGATCAGGCTCATCTTCAGCTCTTCGCAGACCTATTTGTCTCCATCTCTGCTCTGAGTCATCTCTGGCCAAGCTCCTCTCTGGATTGCTTCAGTTGCCTCTCATCACGATTGCTGCTACCACAGTTTTGCCACCAATGTGGCAGCTGCTGCTTCTTTCATACCGGTCCTCACCTTCAGCCTTTGTGTTACCAGCTCAGCACACTGTAGTGATGAGTGATAAAAATGAAAAGTAGGCAAGAAAAAAAAAAACCCACTGGATTAAAGCCCTTATTGAAACAATAGGGGAGGCAGTGAAAGAGCTTTCCAGTTGGCTCACAAATCTGGCATAAATAGTCAAAATGGTAAAGACACAGGTGAAGCATGTGGTTTGCAGCAATCAGCACAACCCTTCATACAGATAAGGAGTTACATTTATTCCAATCACAATGGTCCTTAATATAAATGAAAGAGTATATTTACACTATCATCTAATGAGTCACCATGGAAAGTGGTCCCATATAGCTTGAGTAGAAATGGTTATAGGGTATCACCTAGACTGATAGCAAAAAGGGGCACTGTAAGCTATTTGAAGCAGTCATAAGTAAGGCCATGCCTTGAGAGCCAGAGTTGTGGCCCAGCAACAATCATTGAGCAGAACTCAAGTGGGTGGCGGAAAGATTTATCATAACACGCATGTGCCTAGGTTTGGAACATGCCTGAAGGAGACATTTAATACATGTTTTGAACAAAGAGGGAGGAGGGGGGTTACTCAGGACCTTATCTAGTCCTACAATAAATGGGACATAATGGAGGGGTAAACTAGTCACAGTGACTGACGAGAGTTATGTGCACCTATGCACATGCATCTATACCTGTGTGCACCTGATTGAGAATGTATGTCTAGCATAACATTTAACAGTGTTCCTTGTGGAAAGAATATGTTAATGGAGCCATGCCAAGAGCCCATGGTGCTAGAATATCAGAATATCTAAGCTATATGATGGAGATCTGGTAAGAAGAATTTAGAGTATTAAGACAGCTACACAGCACTGAGCTCAGATACCACCAGATCTGGACAGCTGTCCAGTTGCAACATCTCCAAAGATAGTTGCTTATTAATCTGGGGTTGAAGACTAGTCCAGCTTAGTCCCTGGTCACCAGGTCTGGCATTGAGGAAGCAGCTGCCAGAAGCTGGACTAGAGGGGCAGTTTCCCTTCCACCACTTCTTGGCTCCAGAGAAAACACTAGTAAGTGGTGGGAGCCTGGGTTTGGAGTCTGGCCTCTCAGCTTGAAGCTTGTAAGGTTCAGGCAAGGGTCTAATGGGATCAACAGGCCCATTTAGGCCTGTATTTCTCTCTCTGATCTGGGCTGTGTCTGTCCCAGATCTTCTTGACCATATGCAAGCTAAAGGACAGTCATTTCCTAAGGGAAAAATAGAAGTAAAAGGAGGGGTGTTGCCACCACATGTATAATCCATGTGCTACCATGGATGGTCTCCAGTGTGATTAGAAAACCTTTAAAAGTAAGTACAAATCTCTGTTTTGTGACAGGCATTTGCTGGAGACAAACCATGCTTAAAGTGGGGCTTTCTTGGGTCATGGGCCATTTACATAGGAAATGTCGCTTGGCTTGAGATCCTATCAGAAGGCCATATCTGCTAGGGAGAGTTCAGGCTCCTACAGTATCTACTGACACACATGCCAGATGGTGGGAAAATAACTACAAGTTTGAGAGTAGGTGAGGCCTCAGCATGTAAAATAGGCATTTTATTGAAATAGGAGCCATATCTGCCTGTGAACTAGACACTGTGGGCCTTTCAGTACATTCTCTATAGTCTAGTTTGAGGGTCCATGGGGAAGGGAAAATGTGGAGGACTGGGAGGCCTGTGCAGTAGAAAGGGAGACAAGAAACAGAGATCCATGGTCTCTTAGGTACTGGGCATTCTACATTCCTGCCAGTCCATCACGGACATGGCTGGCTTATAATTTTCAGTCTATAGAGCCTCAGGGTGAAGTGTGCCTCACCTCACCACAGGGACTCTAGGCATCTTGGGAGAGCAAGCCCCCTTTCTCTTGCATCTTTCTTAGTTTTAACCCTGACTTGACTCTTATTTTTGCTTCAGTAGCCTCAAGTGTGATCTACATTCAATAGGTCAGAGCCAGAGGGTATGATATCCCTCACATCAGCTGTCCTGAGCCCAGGGTGCAGAGTGCCATAACTAAGAACAAGCACCATGAACCAAATGTACAATTCATCTCATTGACTTTCTCCCCTCTGAGGTAAGGACCATGCTTCTGCTTCCATCACTCCCTGTCCTTGTCCTGTGTGTGGTGGGCATATCCTCATCAAAGTCACAAACCTGTGAGGATGCCCTGAAGACATGCCCTGTAATAGCCTGCGGCAGAGATGGGAGAGATGGACCCAAAGGGGAGAAGGGAGAACCAGGTATGAAGCACTGTACTCTGGCTTTCTGCACCTTTATCTTCAGCGGGGAACTGTTCTGTGTCCCCAGTGATGGAGCTCAGGGACCACGGAAGACTTGGCTTTCACTGTGGCAGGTGTTCTTTCCTTCAGAATGGTCTCTACAGTTTTACTAACTCCCAATCAACAGTGCCCAACAGCTCTTTTGAGTCTCACACTTTCATATAAGGGTCTGTGGAGGAGGCATTTTCCTCAGTACAAATATCTAGACCTGGAATGCAGAAATTTCTATCTACTCTGAGTCATCAATCACTAGCTCTCTGGCTCTTTCCTGGAGTTGATATGAGTCAAACTTTGAACATCTGGGGAAAGAGAATGAGTTAACAGTCACCAGGCCTTGCTACCTTTATCTTCCAACAGGTCATGGGCTCAGGGGTGGACAGGGCCCTCCAGGAAAAATGGGGCCTCCAGGAAATGTAGGACTTCCTGGACTTCCAGGAACAAAAGGCCAAAAAGGGGATCCTGGACACAGTGCAGGTAGGAGAATACTCCAGCATGACTAGCTTTGATGGGGGTGGTAGCAACAGAAGGCCATGTGGGAGCTGCCCCTGGTCCCGATGCCTTACCAGCTCAACGCTGCTTCCCTACTCAGTGTTACTTGGGTCTTATTGGTATCCAGTACCCTCCAGGGCCATTCCCCCATCAGTTCTCCTGAGGATATGGGGTTAGCTTTTCCTCAGATGAAAGTCCAGTGTGTTCTCTAGGCTGTATGGGAGGAAATGTGCCCCTCCCCCATGTCTACTGTCCAAAGAGTTGCATGAAAGTGGTCAGAATGAGGAATACCACAGCAGCTGCTTCAGAGTGAAAAAGAGCAACTTTGATAAGACAAAAGGAAAACTGGCAGCTCTCCTGTTCATATTTGCCCACCAGTCTGTCAAAATAATTAAACACATTAAAGAATTTACCTGGAGGTTAGGGAGGTGCCACAGTTGGTAAAATGCTTGATGCATAAGATTGAGAACCTTCAGCACCTAAATTCAACCTTCAGCACCTATATTAAAAACAAACAAAACAACAGCAACAACAAAAACTCAGTCATCGTGGCACAGGTTTGTAATCCCAGTGCTGGAGAGGCGGAGATAGGCACATCCCTGGGGCTTGTTGCCAGGTAGTCTAGCTTACTCTGAGAACTCTAGACCAACAAGAGTGCTTGTCTCCAAAAAAGATGGCTCCTGAGCAATGACACCCTAGGTTGATCTCTGGCCTCTACACACACACACACATACATACCAACACACACATGTGCATCTGCACATGAACACATACATGCAAGTAACAGATAATTTACCAGTAATGAGAAATGAAAAAGAGTCACAAAGAAAAATCACAGACTATTGAGCATGTTTTAGAAATTACTATAATATTACAACATTAAGCATATCACTAAAAAAAAAAAAAGGAGGAGAGCTACATTAACAGGTCATTAGGGTAACTATGTTACACCTGGGAAAGCAGCACTACTATTTTTTCCAATTTGCTTCTTTAGCTTTCATATTTTTCTGGAATAATCTTACTTTTTAGTGAGCCTTACCATTTGTGCATATAAAATATTCATGTACATACATATTCATGTGTGTGCAAGTACACATTCGAGGAGTATACATATTACATATGTGTGTGTGTATGTGGAATCCAGAGGTCAAACTCAAGTATTATTCTTAAGATAAAATCCATCTTTTTTTTTTCTTTTGATACAATGTCTTCTCACAGCCCTGGAATCTACCGAGTAGGCTAGGCTAGCTGGACAGCAAGCTCCAGAGATCCACCTGCCTGTAGCTGTCTATGTCCATCCAGCACTGGGATTACATGCCCAACTTTTATGTAGGTTCTGGGAATCAAACAGGTCCTTGTACCTTCATAGCAATCACATTGCCTACTGGGTTTTCTTTCCAGGCTATGAACTTTTCATCCCCATCCCTGCCCCAGTGTCTGAGTCTCCAGGTTAAAGTCTTGTCATTAAGTACCCTTTTCCTGATGCTCTTGCAGCCCTTGAAGCAAAGTTGGCGAATTTAGAGGCAGAGATAAGGATCCTAAAATCTGAACTGGAGCACACCAAGAAGTGTAAGTTTGCCTTCAGCCCCCAATTTTCGTACCGAGGGATCTAGAGTTGGGGGAGAATGATAGACAGGCAACACTTTCGAACACTTACTTTACCACAGGTCTGTGCAGGCGTAGCACTTGCCTGTAATATTTCACTCAATTTCCTCACCAACTCTGGTTGTGATATTATACTTGTCTTGGGACTGGGGACAGTTGGTAAAGGTACATGCCACACAAGCCTGATGATTTGAATTTAGCTCCCAGAACCTAGGGTGGGAGAAGAGAATCAACTCCCAAAGGTTGTCCTCTGACCTTCACATGAAAATATGGCATGCACATACAGAGATGGGGGGAGGGAAGGAGGGACGCAGGGAGGGAGGGAAACACGCTTTAAAAAAGATATTGTACTTCAGGAAGTATAACAACTCACTCCATGTTATACAGCATGCAGACAGCAGCAAGAAAGGGCTGAATGAAATTGTTTTCTCCTACATCTTTGTGGCTTGCTCTCCACCCACTGTTCTTACCTATTGGTGCCTTTCTCTTATTCTGGTTGCCCAAATGGGATGCCACCCTATGTTCACCTGTGCTGCTGTCTGGATTTGACTGACAGTGGTTTTGATGGTGGGCTATCCCAGAAGGGTCATGCTGTTTTCAGGAGGTTGTGGACCCCTTCCCTGCCTCTGTAGGTATTCCTGGTCATATATTCTGGCCTAGTAACATTGGACCTGAGACTTCTTTTTAGAGCCCTGAATTCTCAGAGGTCCTGACTGGGCTCCACACTGAGCAAGCCTCATCTACTCTGATTTCAGTGCATGCCTTCTCAATGGGCAAAAAGTCTGGAAAGAAGCTCTTCATGACCAACCGTGAAACTATGACCTTTGCCAAAGTGAAGGCTCTGTGCACCGAGCTCAGAGGCACTGTGGCTATTCCCAGGAATGCTGAGGAGAACCAGGCCATCCAAGAAGTGGCCAAAGGCAATGCCTACTTAGGCATCACAGACGAGGTGACTGAAGGCCAATTCATGTATGTGACAGGGGGGAAGCTCACCTACAGCAACTGGAAAAAGAATGAGCCCAATAACCATGACTCAGGGGAGGATTGTGTCGTCATGGTAGAGGGTGGGGTCTGGAATGACATATCCTGTCAAGCTTCCTTCATTGCTGTCTGTGAGTTCCCAGCCTGAGGAAGATAGTGCCCTCATCTTCTCTTTGGCTCCTTTCTGAACTCTTAGTTGCTTCCAAAGAAAATTCAGTACTGTTTTCCAAAGCTTAGTGTTAACTGATCTTTTTTGAGGGACTTGGTTGTGGCATGAGGACATAAGGAGATACTGAACAGGAGGCCCCAGGGTCCAGACAAGCACAGAGCCAAGGTCGCGTCTGTTTTGCGTGGGGCACAGTGCTGAGTCAGAGTGAACTGTGGAAGGCTACAGTAAATCTCCCTTGCTGAAGGACCAAAGATGGACCATATCTGTGTCAGAGTAATCACTGATCTCAGCCATCAAAATATCCAATTTCTTTTCTCCATGAATTGTCACTAAGTGGTGCAAAACTTGCCTGTTTGAGTCCACCCTCAGTCTACAATGTGTCCTTGCCTCTTGTGTGTTCCTTTACAGAGAGCTATATTTGGAGACTGGAAGAGTACTAACTCTTTTGGATACTTCCTATACCCTAGGTATAGGCTATCTAGGTCCTCTCTGTGACAGCATTGTTGCTTTTAGGGTTCATATACTGCTCCAGGTGCCCCTTCTCTTCCTGACCATAACATAGGTAACAGCCTATGTGAGTAACCACTGTCAGCCCTAAAAACACCTTGCCAAGTTAGCTGTGTCCTCTCTTTATTCACTATGCACCCAATAGTGAACAGCAGCCCTTTCTCCCTACATCCGCATATGGGATCAGTTTGCTATTGTGTGCCAGCAACATGGAAGAAGGCATGGCCATTCAAGGGGTGTCTATGTCATCAATGTCAGTTTAACTGCCCAGCATCCTTTTCGTTCACGGCTACATCTTCTCATTATGGATCAGTAGGCTCATTATCAGTGTACAGATTGATAAAACCTAAAGTTATCTTCTTGCCCTAAGGGTCAAATGATACCCCCTCAGCAGCTAGCCACTAGACCTCCTTCCCAAGCATCCTAAAGTTTCCATCTATCCAGCATGGCCATGGGTTTTTACTTTCCAGCTGTCTGAGGGTAGGTGGAGCTGAGATTCAACAGCAAAGTGCTGTAAGCCAGAAGAAGGTAAGTGCTGGCTCTCGCTGCTTGCCATTCACAAATGAGATCAGAAAACATTTCAGGAATGAGCTAAGAGTCACTCTCACTTAGTGAGAAGTCTTTGTTCACATCCATTTCTATTTTACTTTGTTTCTGACCTGCCAGGAAAATCACTCCATAGTCATTAAGAGCTTGGTGGATGATGGATGTTTGTTCAATGGATGCAGCAAACATTCACAAATGGATGGCTAAGTTGGCTGCTCAGCACTCAATGTCAGGATGTGCTCCTTCCACAAAACTTTCCCAGCTGCTGTGGGAAGCAGGGTGGGACCTACAGAAGGTACTGGGGCCAGCAGAGTGCAGGTGGCAGGACCATGTGCCTTGGTATCTAGGACGCCTAAACTGTCATGTTACTGAAATTTCTTCAGACAACAAGCACCGGTGATGTAGCACAGCATGATTCTCTGTTTGACTTCAAATCTGGATGCTTAACCACAGGCACTGGGAACTGCTAAGATTTAGAAGCACCTATGCAGGGTTAGACTCTTAAGTGTATATTACCCAGGAAAAAGGGACTTTGGGTTTAAACTATGTCTGTCAGTTTCCTTGTGCACAAATGCAGACACTGCCATTGGGGACATGGTCTGCTTCATGTAACAAAGGAGAAGCAGGTGCTAAAAGATGGAGGTACTCAGGGTCCAGGTTCCTGCCCACCTTCTGCATCCTAGAACTGAAGAGCTTGCTCAGCAGGACAGTCTTTCTCTGGAGTCCCTCATCTCTGCTGCTACACTTCTAGCTGTGTTCCAAGCCAGAGGTGGGGACATTAAGTTCAGCTGAAGGCTTATCACTCACAGCAGATAACCTCCTTCCTGTCTGTGCCCAGGAAAACTACTTTCTCTGTGGCTCTCAGAGGTCAACCACCACCAGGGCCCAGGCCACAGGCTTGACCTGCAGAGCCTCTGACCTGAAAGGCTGTTTGCTCACTGTTATGTAAATGACCTGGACTTTGGTAATTGCCAGGAATTTGGGGTTTTTCCACACACACACACCATTAGCTAGGAGAGGATCAGTTGTCATCTGAGTCCCAGGCCAGAGATGCCGGGAAATGGGTTTAATCAAGTGACGTTACTCTGGTAACCCTGAGTGGCTGATGGATTACTGGGAAAATGAGAGGCAAACCTACAACTGGGAGGCAATGACCTTTGCAGAGAGACAGTCTTTAAGTCAGAACAATTCTGATCCTGACAGATACAATTGCTGTGTTTAAAAGACACAGAACTCAGGTAGGCATTTACAAACTAAACACAAGCCTTGGACTAGGTTAGCCACTGACAGCATGTGATGTAGCCTGTTTTGTTCTGGTAAACCATGGGCCTGTGGCTCTTCAGACAAGTGGATGTCAGAATTGACTAGAATCATGACATTGTCTGAGCACTCCAGCCCTGTGCTGGGCCCTGTTAAAAATCTTCAGTTTCTTGCCTTTGTGAGGTTCTCAAGTTATCTAGATGTCTGGCAAAATTTGGAAATCACCGACCCAAAAAATAAGTCATTCTGGTGGCCTGTGTGCACCTCTCACCCATACCAGGATGAAGGATTTCATAATTATTTGGAGGTCCCTCATAATGTAAAGGAGTTACTTTTGTTTATGATATCTGTCCATTGACAGTATCTCCTAACCTGACCCCAGGCTACAAACAGCTGCTGCTCCAAACCCGTGCTGACATATCCCAAGCTGTTACCACCATGGGGACTTTACATAATAGAGCTAAGACTGGAACAGCTTTGATGAGTTTTCTGAATATGGGAGGTACTGGGTTCATGAGCCTACATGTAGGCACTTGTGTGACCAGGGCTTATGCTGTTGTATATACTTTTGTGCACATGTAATTATGTGTTGAGTTTGTGGATGGCAGCCAATAGACCCAAAGCTTGCTGCACTCAGGTGCCAGCAATTCATCCCAGCCTTCTTCCATCCATGTCCAGATCTACTCTGTCTACCCTTCTCTTTGGAATGTTCCAGAGGCTCTGAGTGAAGATTAGGCATGTTAGTCATATGCAAACTGCCTACAAATGGCCCTAAGTGTGTCGAGGAAGCTGTGGAATCAGACACTAGTGTAATCTTGTGCAAATCTTAGATATTGCCTTCATTCAATTCATTGGACCAGTGAAGCTAAAGTGGCCCCAAACCCAGCCTTAATGTCTTTTCCCTCTTATTTTTTTTCCTCTAAACAACTGTAAGTATTTGATATTAGTTTGGCCATTTATTTGGTTTAAATTATAAAAGCATGACAATGTCATTAGAAGTAAGGATTTTGTTGTCACACTGTCAAGGTTCAAATTCTGACTTCACTATATTGCAGCCGTGTGACCTTGTCATATCACATAAATCTCTATGCTTTTGTGCTCTTTTTGGTGAGGCTGGAATAACACTTGTACCCACCTCAGAAGATTATCACCAGGGACAGACAAGCTGTTATTAGTGAAACAACTACAACACATACTTATAATAATGCAGCAATAGCCATAGCCTTGCCTCTGTGAGTTTTCCCAATCTACACCCCTCACCTCAGCAGACTGAGTGCCCAGAAAAGGTGGGAGTCACTTACAAGCTCAACTGATGGCTGACAATGAGTTCATGAATGAAAAGATGAGTGAATTAATGAGTTCACTCCCAAGATTTGAGATCCAGTTCATCTCCAGAGATTAACTTGGGGCCAGGCTGGATTCCAGAAAAGCAGCAAGAGCATTTTGGAAGATGGCTATGGGTGTAGTCTATTTTTCCAGGTAACCTATTTTCCTAGGTAGCCTAGTCAGCAGTGACCTCATGCTGCCCTCTGCTGGTTGTCTTGAAGGCAGGGCCAGCAAGCTCAGAGAGTCTCATAAGCTGGGGTTGGGGGTACAGTAGATAGAGCCTCAGGCACCCATAGGCTCCTTGTCTGCAACTTGGGGTGGTCTTATTGCTTTGTCTCTGCTTCTCTGCTTGCTGCACACACTTGGATCTTATGCTCACTTTTCAGGCCACAGGTAGACATCTATAGATGTCTCATAGAGATGACATAGATCCTTAGTATGCTAAGGCTCTGCAGGAATACACTGTTCCTTGCATTAGTGTCTGATCCATTTCAAATCTAGAATACGAGCTCTTTAGAGAAAGAAGCCTATGCCACCTTCACCCTCTTTCCCGCCCACATTTTTATGTACAGGGTGACTTCATGTTTCCTCAAGACAGGATGCCATTGCTGCTGTGTGGCCTTCTGGGTCCAGTGGAATCCTTTTTCCTTTGTATCAGCAGGGAAAACTGGGGACTTTTCTCTGAAACAGTTTCTTTCTGAGGATATAAGAAACCATTTCCTTGTGACATTTGCAGTGGCTCCAAATAATCTCAAAAGTGAAGTGATGCTCCTATGAGGACCTGTAACTCTACTCAGCCTGTTGGGACCCATAAGGCAGAGGGTCAGTGAACACTAGGATGGTGGATGGATATATCTTCCATACCTCACCAGAAGAGGGCATTATTGTGGCACCAACTATAACTAGGCACTTCTGCTCTGACCTAGCTTTTGCTCCTATAGTCCAACTGGAGGAAGCACCAGAATTCTTTCAGAGGTCCTAGAGAGTGTTTTTACTTGTCTCACTAATGAAACTCAAGGACATTCCCCTTGTTAAATCTCTCCCAGATTGCTGAGTAGTGTCCTCTTAAGCCAAGGATCATGGACATTAGTACATCTATCCTACTCCTTCCCAGTGTCCGTGACAGACACACTAACCAGCCACTTCCTAACTGCCTAGCTAAGACCCCGGAAGCCATTTAATATTGTAATAATTGCAAAGAATCCCAGGTGGTGTAGAGCAAAGAACTCATGGCTCAGTTCTTCCCAGTGCTCCTGAAATGCCCAGCTGTTTCCATAAGAATCTATGGCTTCGATCACCACAAAAGTATTGCCAGAGCCAAATGGCAAGCTGTTCGTGAG